GGCGAGTCTCAGCGGCATGGAGCAGTGGGGGTTTCGCCGGTGGGCGTGTTATGATGGACGAGCGCAGGATGGTGGCGTCGATGGCAGAGAGACCTGGCACGGTTCATGCAACAGTACAACTCTGAAGATGGATTGATGGTACGTAGCTGCGGCGGCCTCATACCCGGCAGGGGTCCTGGTTGAAGAGCACGCCGGACTGGTGGGTGCCCATACCCGGCAGGCGTCCTGGTTGGGACCTCAGGTCTTAGATGTTATGTTTTGCTGCGAGGTCTGTTTGGTATTAGGCCCAGACCATCAGCGCCCCTTCATCAGTTAGATAGGAGTAGCGACAGAGGTTGCGAAGATGGTGGCTTTGGTCTTACTGTTGTACGACTTTGTAAGGTCTTGTGTTAATAATTAATAAATTGGCCGTATGCATCATCCAGATGCAGAGGCCGGGGGTATTCCTCCTTTTCGAAAAAAAATGTACAATGGTTGATAAGATAGTCTTATCTTAAGTCTTGCATGTAATTTAGAGATGACAAAAAAATTTGTCTACAATGGGTCATCTCTTAGCCTTATCTTCAATAACTAGCAATTCCTAAAAATGTGGTGAGACATATTGTGCTAAGAGATCACTTCTTGTCTTCTCTTAAATAATAGTAAGAGAACACAAAACTTTTCTTATGAGTTCTTGCTCCTCCACCTCATCGTCTATCCTACGTGGCACTCTTAAGATAGTACCATTGTACATGTCCTAAGATTGCAAAAGATTGCCACATCTAAGGTTAGACAAGTTTGACCAACTTAGATTAGTGTTTGGTTGAAGCCACACCTTAGGCAGCCTCCACCGCCGTCCCTCCGGCACGCACCACCAAATCTGACCGGAGATGCCCGATCTGACTCACCTACATCGCTGCCGTCGTGACGCCACCCGACCGCTGCACCGCTTCTCCCGCCATAGGCCAGCACCTCCAGACAAGCAGCAGACCCATGCCAGCCCTAGATCCCGCCTGGAAGGGAAAGGAAGACCCCACAGCCACCCTTGCGGGCTTGCGAGGGAGGAGGGTGGAGAGAGGGGGTGAGGGGAGGTGGCGGCTAGGGTTCTCCCGGGCGCCATGGGAGGGAGGGAGGAGGGGTTGCGCTAGTATTATCATCAGAATAGGTTGAGTGTGGAGTATGAATGTGTTGAGGAGATAATTACTCCCTCCGTCCCATAATGTAAGACATTTTTTTTGACACGTCTTACATTATGGGACGGAGGGAGTAGTTGTTAGTCATGGAATGAATGTTGTTGGTGTGTTGAAGAAGAAGATGGAATTAGTAAGATGCTGTTGGTGGTTGAAAAGATCTACTTAGTGGCAATGAGTTGTGTGAAGCTGCCTCTTGTTAGTTATTAGTATTAGTGGTAGGCTTGAGCGTTGACTGGTCAAGCTCCCTCATGCTCCAAAGAAAGAAAGAAACGAGGTCTGGTCGTATGGAAGGAAGGAAGAGCGGGTCAAAGAGTCAAAGGGTCAATGCTCACCATCAGCTTGCAACTTGCAAGCAAGAGGAGAGGATGAGGACTGAGGAGGAAGAAGAAAGGAAGCAAAGCAGCAGCTGCCGCGACCTCACCCTCTCCTCCCAGTGGGTGAGAGTGACCCAGGCACTGAGCTACCGTGGCCGCGAGCAGGTGCAGGTGCAGGGAAGCATCACGCACGCCCAAAATGAGCACCCGCACGCGGTCAAGGAAGCCTCCCCTCGCCCCTCCTTCCCGACGACGACGACAGCCCCACCCGTGTGCGTGTGCGTGTGCCGTCTATATAATCTTCACCCCATCCATCCTCAACGGACACCATCCACTCATCCATCATCCCACCTCTCCTCGCCTTCCTTCCACCACCAAGCAAACCAAAACCAAGGAAGCCAAGCAACCATGTGCCCGGGCCTCCGCAACGCCATGGCCACCCACGACCATCCCCAGCCCTCATCCTACCTGCTCGACCTGGCCGCCGCCGACGACCTGCCCGCCTTCCGCCGGGCCGTCCAGGACGACAACCTCTCCCTCGTCGCCGCATCCCCGTGGTACGGCCCTTCGCCCAAGACAGCCAAGACCAGGACCACCCACCATCTGGCGCTCCACCTCCGCACCCCCGCCATGGTCGCCGCGCTCTACGGCAGCACCGCCGTCCTCTCCTACGTCCTCTCCATCGCCCCCTCCGAGGCCGCCCGCGCCTCCGCCTCCGACGGCGCCACCCCGCTCCTCCTCGCCCACGCCGGCCGCGCACCCTCCGCGCCCCACGCCGCCCGCCTCCTCCTCACCGCCGGAGCGTCCGCCGACTCCCTCCTCGCTCTCGACCACCGCCATCAAACCACCAGACTCCCCGCCAGCCCCACCAAGAAACAACAACATCCCGATTCCTCCTCGCCGCCGGAGGCCACCACCAGGAAGACCACCACCAACAAGGACTATTCGGACTTGGCCCAGACGGAGGACATCAACGCGGGCGTCTTCGCCACCGACGACTTCCGCATGTACAGCTTCAAGGTCAACCCGTGCTCCCGCGCCTACACGCACGACTGGACCGAGTGCCCCTTCGCCCACCCGGGCGAGAACGCGCGCCGCCGCGACCCGCGCCGCGTGCCCTACTCCTGCGTCCCCTGCCCGGACTTCCGCCGCGACCCGCAGGCATGCCGCAAGGGCGACGCCTGCGAGTACGCGCACGGCGTCTTCGAGTCATGGCTCCACCCGGCGCAGTACCGCACCAGGCTCTGCAAGGACGAGGTCGGATGCCCCCGCCGCATCTGCTTCTTCGCGCACGGCGCCCGCCAGCTCCGGGCCGTCAACCCCTCCGCCGCCTCCATGGCATCGCCGTCCCCGAGCTCCTCCTCTTCGCCGCCGCCGCGCTCCTTCTCTACAACTACAAGGCCGGCGCTCACGGCGTCGCTCAGCTCGCGGGAGCTCGACTTCGACGCCGACAGCCAGTACGCGCGCAGGATGATGATGGCCAGGGCCAACTCCCCGCCGGACTACTCGCCCGACCTCGTCGCCGCCTACGTCCAGGCGCTCTCCTCCCTGCAGCACCACCAGCTTCAGCAGCAGCAGCAGCAACAACAGAGCAGCGCGCGCGGCAGCACAACCAAGCCGCCCATGGGAGGAGGGCTGAGCGCCCGCGCCGCGGCCTTCACCAACCGGAGCCAGACCTTCGTGCACCGCTCTCCGGCATCTCAGGCGCGGTCGTTCGCGTCCCCGGCGGCGGCGTCGTCCATGCTGGCGGACTGGGGGTCGCCGGACGGGAAGCTGGACTGGGGCGTGCAGGGCGCGGAGCTGCGCAGGTCCACGTCTTTCGGGGTCAGAAGCAGCAACAGCAGCAGGGGGCAGGAGGACATGTACTCGTCGTGGCTGAACGACGGCGGCAGCGACATGCTGGCGGCGCGGTGGTCGGACCTGGAGCAGATGGTCGCCTAGTTAATTTCAGTTTTTGTAGCTGAAGAATGAAGTAAGAAAAACTCCTAGTGCCACGGTAGCCTCTACTCCACTCCAGTATACTACTCAAGGAGAAACAAGATATGAAAGATATGTAATCCTTCTTTATTTCTTTTCAAACTTTGTTCTTCTCCAACAGTGATAAAAAGAAAATTTCACATCTAATGATCCATGTGTCGTAAATATTTGGCTCATTCCAGTTTTGTGCAGTGCAGTACAGTAGTATATGCAGCCGCCCTGGATATAAAGCTGCTCAAAAAATAAAGTTGAATGAATGATTGAGCACACTTTTAATATAAAAAAAATGAAAAACATATAAAGTAGTAGAGGATGTTGACACGAGGAGACTTTTCTTGAAGCTTCGATGAATGGATGGGATCGGATCGGAATTGGGTTGGGTCCTAGCTCGTAGTGGATGATGATGAAGGTGAGGTGATGCATCGCTGTCATTCATTCAACACCATACATACAAAGGTATCAACATATATATTGCTTTTGCTTCTTCCTTTTTTTTTAAATCAAATCAAATCAAATCAAATAAAAGGCACATCCTCTAACCAATTCATTGTAATCATACTTTTTTTCTTCTTCAATTCAATGACGAGCGTGACCTTTCTCTTGGCTTTTATTTGCAAACTGCCTTCCTCTCACGCCCTCGTCCTCCTCCACCCTCTCTTTGTACAAGTCGTATTAGCTTGTTGTCGCTATCGGGGGCATCAAGCCGGAGGGAGTGCTTCAACGCCTTGACCAGACATGGCTCTATGCCCGACTCGACACACGCTACTCATTATGCATTGTATGTACCATTTGCCATTGACCTTGTCTCGCCTATCCTTCTTCATGTTTCCTTCTTCCTCTTCCCCTTCTCTTGCCCACCCATTTGTCGACAGTGGCAATTGTTTGTGTGTGTCCAATCGCCTGCGCTAGGTTTGCGTTTGATGAAAGTTATTTGAAAAGTGACACGTGGACTTCAACATTGGACTATGGAACCTGCTAGCTAGTTAAGATTGTGTGGGTATGTATGTGTATGATCTAATAACATGTCCTTTTGTCTGGACTTCCACTTTCCATGAATTTCCTTTCATATTTGGTTGCCCGTGTGTTTCTTCTACTTTTCTCTTGCAACATAGTAATTATATTTGCAAACTATTGCAGGCTTTAATCTCTCTCTATATATGCAATTCGTTTCATTTTGTGCAATACCTTTATCTATATGAATCCAAGTTGTTGAGAGCACTCTAAAGTGCAATCTAGCTACGATGCTAGTATGTATAGTAGTCAAGACCCACAATGCCACAACACTTCTCTACAGTATGTATATGCATATTGATCTATGTTGATTTCATGCTTTGCAAACCATAATTTTTTGATGAACAAAAAGCTCACGGTACCTCCAATTACATTTCGTGGAATCATCTCACATAACGCCTTACATCTAATACAAAATTATGTTACATCTAAAACAAAATTACGTAACGCCTTACATCTTCTAACTGAAGGAGTACCACAACTATACAAACAACTAATACGTGGCCTCCATCGGCGCCATACCTTCTCACAGCAAGAGGCGTGTATGTTTTCCAATAACCTTAAACATATTAGGCCTCTCTCTTTCCGGCACATATGTCCAACCAACTATTACCTCCAGCACCGCACAACCCATCTTGCAAATAAGCACTTGATCCGAAGGTCCTAGAGTGAGGGCAAGGTGTTCACACGCGTCACCACCAACAAGGAAGAGCGCCAACTTCTGATCTAGCGAGATAGCTACCACGCTCCGAGTTAACGGGATGGAGTCACCATCGCTGACTACCATCGGACTGCCCGCTGATTCGTATAGAACGATATGATCCTTGAAGTTTCCGGGAGTCGAAGCGGCTACTCTTGAAATATTACATGGGCCCTTCAAAACACTGATTGCAATGGTGACTTCCACGGGTTGGTAAACCAGTGCACATAAAAACTTCACATCACTCAGGAAACTGTACACGCTGACCGTCATGGTTTGCCTGTATGTAGGGATGCAAACCCAATTGAATTCCGTTATGCCTTTACTGAAAACTCTATCTTCCCCTCCATCACACATGATCTTTAAATTAGTCTCAAAATAAACGTTGTCTATTGGAACAAGCGCTCGACATGGATCTATCAAAGATAACATATCATCCTGCAAAAGGGTTCAGGCAAAGAAAACATGTCAAACACGCCTTACATTTCCGAGCAAAAAACGGTGGAATGATATAATAAGCAACAATTAACAAGGCAAGGAACAGAGACCAAGGTACATACCGGAGAGCTGATGAGCTGGGGATCATCCCTTTCACGCCTAAACAAATAGACGCATCTGTAGTCGACATAGTCCCTCGCTATAACGGTTCCAAACACACTGATCGGGTAGCCAACATCCGATTCACGCGCCTTGACAGAAATGACATTGAGGCAATATCGCTGGATCGACTCGGGTGAAGGTAACTTGTGGAGCGGCGGGCCACGTTGGAAGCTAGCTGCACATGAATAAAAAAAAGCCATGATCACAAATCAAAACCAACATGTAACACATGCATACTTATATATTGATATTGTGTCGTGCAGTGGAGACCTAGAAGAAGAAGAAGTTTGATGATGGTGACCGAAAATTGAACACTCACACTCTTTGTCGAAGTCGAAGAAAGCTAGGTTCTCAAAGTTGTGGTATCGACTACACTTGAAAGCGTTGAGCTTGGGTTCGTATTGGGTGAAGTCTTGGCAACGGACTATGTTAAGAGCCGCCAACGCCTTCTCCACCAACTTGAGGTCATGATTAGCGTCGTCGAAGACGCCCTTGATGTCGAGGATATGGCAGGTCTCGCGTGGGGACTTCCCCTTGATCTTGTCGGCGAGGGCCCGGCAGGCCAGACCGAGGAGCCCTCGGACCTCGAGCTTCTCCGAAGCCTGCGATTTATAATAGTACATAACACGATCAATATATGCTTCAAAGCTCAAAAGTTGAATTGTCTCAACAAAAAAAAAACTCAAGAGTTGAAGAAACAATATGATGCAAGCAAGCACATGATTAATTAATTGGGAATTGTGTGATTGGAGAAGAGATGGAGTGGAAACAAATTGATTAATGAATCACCAGGATGAGATCGTAGAGGGTGTCGAGGTCGACGATGCCGACGAACTCCGCGTCCCAGTCGCTGAGGGCCCGGTCGTCGTCGGTGGCAATGGCGTGCCTCTTGCAGTAGTGCATAACCTTGGGTAGGACGTCGGCTCGGATGGAGCGGAGTAAGATGTGGGTGTACTTGGTGTCGTCGCCGTCGGCGGGGACGATGTAGTTGTCGCGGTCGAGCTCCATCCTGCGACGTAAGAAGGTGGACACCCTCGCCTCCTCCGCGGGAACCACGAAATCCACGCCCTCCTGGCTCCGCAGCGCCACCATCTCCATCGCCGTCGTCTCTTCCGCCGCCATCGATCCCTTGGATTTGTTCCTGCCTGCAAATTAAGTTTTTCTTTCTTTTCTGAGGGATGTCTGCAAATTAAGTGCAGGGCCGCCTTGGGCAAATTAAGAGCTGGACCTGGACTCCTACAATTCAATTCCATCTCGGACAAGGCCTCCGCTGTCGGCTCTGAATCCAATTACAGTACGGCCTAGCAAGTACTCCTAAATTTCTCCAATAAATAAATAAATAATAAGCAAGTAGTCCTAAATAAAAAGGTGATCCGTATGGAACATCCGTCACCTCGACAGCCGTTCGATGTACGTGCGTGCAGCCGTCCGATCTACTTTTGGCGTGCGGCTCGGTCTCCTTCCCTGACTCATTAATTCCTGAAACAACGGTCGAGTTGCAGAAACAAGCGTCTCGCGAGCCATTCGATGCGTGATGTGAGCCGTTCAATCCTCCTCTCTAATTTCCTGCAACGACGCACTTGTTACAAGATCTGTTCTTCTCTGATTTCCTAGACCTTATTGCGAAACCTTATCTTCTACAATTTTCTGCAACAAGACTCATGTTGCAAAACTTCTTCTTCTTTAGTTTTCTGCAACAAGACAGAAACGTCTGTAGATTTTTTTTGCAACAGAGTTTGTTATATAATACTTTCCGTAACAAAGATCGTGTTGCGGAAACATCTATAGAATTTTTTAGTTTTCTGCTTGTATCCCATGAAGGTCACTGCTGGCGCGTCACCGGCTTGCACAGCTGGTGACCTGTCCGGTCTTTATCTCAAACCATCCTGGACACCCTCCATGGTCCGGGCGGCCGTACGTGCACATAGTTTTACCTTTTCAGTTCAACATATGTCCAAAATGTAACTGTTTTCGCCCGGTTTGTATGAAACCCGTCATGTTTGTATGAAATCTGGTCGAGTTTGCACGAATTAAATCCGGTTTTGTTGAAAGAGTTTCCAATGTGTGCAACTATGGTTGGATGGCGGCCTCCCATATTCGTGTCCGCAGATTGGTCCACCCCTGTCCGCGGATGAATGCGGGAGAAAATTTACGGGTGACCATTGAAGATGCCTTAACCGCTTTTATATTTCATTACAGGGGAAGTATTTTCTTTCAAGAAGGCCAAAAGCTCTGTATATTAAGTAGCACAGCTCAAAGGATTCTTCGTTCTTGAATTCAAAGTGTTATCGTTAGTTAAAAGGTTTGGACATGCACAACAAGAAACAAGGATTATTTATTCTCGAAGTGTTATCATTAGTAAAAAAGGCAAAAGCCGACAAACACCCTTTAAAAATATGATCAATACACCCAATTAAAAGTGCAAAATTATGGAGCCATCAACTCTCGCCCCGATTTATAGATAACGCAATGACTATACAACCCATCAAATACAACTCGACACCACAACACACACATGCCTCTCTCCATGGAATGCACCTTCCACCACCGGCCGTCCACCAACGCATCGTGGATTGAACCGCACAAACATAGGAGGGGAAATCCACCGTCCATGTTGCGCCTCCACCTCCACCAGCCGAGAGCCATGGTAGGGGTGGACGCCGGCACCCATGCCGCACTCGAGATGCACCTCGCGGATGGCCAGATTTGACCGTGGCGGTGCCACATCAGCCACCGCCTTTCACACCATCGCCACATCACCAATGCCAACCCGCATTGGCGTGCCACCGTGTCCCAGCGCCACACCTAGGACACAAATGCATTGCCCCGTGCCGAGAGCCCGCGCATGGAGACGCGAGATCCCTGCCGCCGGCGGCTGGCCGGGCTTTGCCCGGCCATGCCCTCTGGGGGCGACGACGGCGATGGCAAGGGATCCCTCCCTGTTGCACGTGGAGGCAAATCGGTATGGGGAGGGGAAAAAGGAAAATCTCCACCAGCCCTTGTGCCCTCTCTTTCAATGTTGTGGATGTCCCTTACCTCTCCTTCCCTTTCCCTCATGCCATCGCACATCTCCCCATCTTTTTCCTCCTCCTCCACCTTGAGCGTCTGTTCTATTATGATAAACTTGTCTGTGGCTTTTAGAGTTGTCATATTTTTGGGTAGTCTTTTCCCCCTGTAATATGGTTTTAGCTGCCGTGAGAACTCCTTGCGCTTTTTTTATTGAACCTGCCTAGCAGTGGTGGATGCTTATGTGCCCGGGTTTGGTTTCGTTAATGAAACCGGAGGGAGGCCCCTCTTTTATTAAAAAAAACACTCACAAAATCGAAGGTATGACTCGTACGTGTCCGTTTAGCCATTCAATTGGTATTTGTTTAGTGCATTGGACTACTTTAATTATTCACTGTTGTACTCTCTTATACTCCCTCTGTAAAGAAATTAAAAACGTTAACGATCTAAGGACATCTTTAACGCCGACCCGCAAACCTCCCGCATCAGTGTGGACCATGAAAGTCATCCAAAGCGGTCCTGTACCAGTCTGTTGTGCGGTTCAGAAGTGTTTTTCCCGCAAACTGGAAACAAACACAGGGGGAGTCCGGTCCGCTGTCACGCACACATCTGACCGCCCTGGCCCACCAACCCCCCCTCCCGTCCGCGCTTCCCGTTCGTCGCCAGCTGCCCGTATTCATGCCGTTGTACAGCTCGTCGCTCCAGGCTCAGGACGAACGCGACCTCTCACTGCCTCCACTATTGAAGCGGCGTGCCGGCTAAGGACGCTGCCCGCTACACGCCCAGCTGAACATGCATTCTTGCTGCATTCAAACGTCTCCATAAACGCACGTGGAAGCCGAGAAACCTACTCCGACCACATGTCCATTCACGAACGGGTCAGCATTAAACACAACATCAGGCAAGCTCCTCCCGTCCACCCTCCATTTAAATGAGGCCAGATGCCAGGCAAGAATCGCACCACTCCGCCGCTCCCCATCTCTTCCTTCCACCATTTTCTCCACTCTTTCGATGGCATCCGACGAGCAGGAAGAACGGTTCTCCGGCATAAAAGCCGACTGGGTGGCCCGTTGAGCCCGGTGGATACGAGCGAGGCAGCGTGCTACTTCACCTCCATCGGCTAGCCCAAGTAGCCTCCCGAGGCAGAGAAAGAAGCGAGCTGCGCGGATGTCGACGAGGTGGCGGCCAGCACGTCCGCGCCCGCCGCCATCATCGAGGAGAAGTAGAACACGGGAGGCCGCCGCCGCTTGTATCCCATGAAGGCCACCGCTGGCGCGTCACCGGCTTGCACAGTTGGTGACCTGTCCGGTCTTTATCTCAAACCATCCTGGACACCCTCCATGGTCCGCGCGGCCGTACATGCACATAGTTTTACCTTTTCAGTTCAACATATGTCCAAAATGTAACTGTTTTCGCCCGGTTTGTATGAAACTCGTCATGTTTGTATGAAATCTGGCCGAGTTTGCATGAATTAAATCCGGTTTTGTTGAAAGAGTTTCCAATGTGTGCAACTATGGTTCGATGGCGGCCTCCCATATTCGTATCCGCGGATTGGTCCACCCCTGTCCGCGGACGGATGCGGGAGAAAATTTACGGGTGACCATTGAAGATGCCATAACCGCTTTTATATTTCATTAAGGGGAAGTATTTTTCTTTCAAGAAGGCCAAAAGCTCTGTATATTAAGCAGCACAGCTCAAAGGATTCTTCGTTCTTGAATTCAAAGTGTTATCGTTAGTAAAAAGGTTTGGACATGCACAACAAGAAACAAGGATTATTCATTCTCGAAGTGTTATCATTAGTAAAAAAAGACAAAAGCCGACAAACACCCTTTAAAAATATGATCAATACACCCAATTAAAAGTGCAAAATTATGGAGCCATCAACTCTCGCCCCGATTTATAGATAACGCAATGACTATACAACCCATCAAATACAACTCGACACCACAACACACACATGCCTCTCTCCATGGAATGCACCTTCCACCATCGGCCGGCCACCAACGCATCGTGGATTGAACCGCACAAGCATAGGAAGGGAAATCCACCGTCCATGTTGCGCCTCCACCTCCACCAGCCGAGAGCCATGGTAGGGGTGGACGCCGGCACCCATGCCGCACTCGAGCTGCACCTCGCGGATGGCCAGATTTGATCGTGGCGGTGCCACATCAGCCACCGCCTGTCACACCATCGCCACATCACCAATGCCAACCCGCATTGGCGTGCCACCGTGTCCCAGCGCCACACCTAGGACACAGATACATTGCCCCGTGCCGAGAGCCCGCGCATGGAGACGCAAGATCCCTGCCGCCGCCGGCTGGCCGGGCTTTGCCCGGCCATGCCCTCCGGGGGCGACGACGGCGATGGCAAGGGATCCCTCCTGGTTGCACGTGGAGGCAAATCGGTATGGGGAGGGGAAAAGAGAAAATCTCCACCAAACGGCGTGAGCGTCATCGTCGGCGGAGACCACCTGGAAGAGGTCCTTCGAGATGGTGGTGTAGAACCAACGGATGAGAGTGGCATCGATGGCCGTCCACTCCTCATCGTCCTCCATGAAGCGGGAGTCCACGGAGCCATCGATGTGATCCCGGAGATTGTACTCACGGAACACGAGGGAGAAGTACGTCTTCCAGGCATAGTACGTGGAGGTGAGGTGGTCGAGGACGACGGGAACCCGGGCGAGGATGTTGAGGTCGCGGATGACGACGGGATCGGGACCTTCGAACGGGTTGGTGCGGCGGCTGCGGGAGGTACCGGTGGAACCGGGGGAGGCCATGGCCTAGAGGGGTGGTGCGGCGGCGCTGGAGCGGCGGCTCGGCAGGGAGGAAGGCGGCGCGGCTGGGGGGCGGCGCGGCGGTGGCTGGCGGAAGCGCGGGCGGCGGCGGCAGACC